CATTAGAGATAAAGTTGAAGTTTTGAAATTAAAGAAAGTAGATAGGAATAAGGTCCGTTACCCATGTTATTTTCTATAAAAAGTTAAATGCAAACGATCCAAGACACAATAACAGTAAGGGAAAACAAAAGACCATTAGGCTTTCAGAAGGAAACACGGTGATATACATATGTACCAAAACGACTCCAATTCATTCATTCACTCCATAATACTAACAATAAAATTAACTTTCTATTGAAACGCTTCGGTGGTTCATCGGTAGAACGCAAACCAACCACTCATTTGGTTTGGGATCCAATCCCGTGCCACCGCACTCCTAAGCCTCGCTAAGCCGGTAAAGAGAGAAGGTTGAGCGTGAGGCTAGCAACCCTACCCCAAAAAATAAAAATACTGCTACTGAAAACTCAAAACTCTAGCTTGAAATCCTATGTTCCACTCGGGACATAAAGGAATAAAATAAAAATATATAAATTTCATTGGAACTAATACGTGAAACGCTCAAAAAGTAACACATTTGCCTGAAAGAACCATCTACAATTTTATCGATAAGACCTGTATCAAATGACCAGATAATTGAAGTCAACCGTTGTAAAAAAATTATCATTTACAAACAAGTACTAAACTTCAACAAGCCTAAATGAGAACATGAGACAAAGTAAGCTACGATAACAGATAAACACAGACGTACCTGTTTAATTACATCAGGTTCTTCTAATTGACAGTCGATAACCACGTGAGTAACACGCGTAGGATCATACGCTAAAACTACTTCTGCACCGTGTAAACGCATAACACGCCTCCAGACAACTTTCTGTGATTCAGGCACACTTCGATAACCCAAAATTAGCATAACACAACCAATTAAGCATTCTTCAGGACGAGAAGGCAACGGATTACCATCATGGCCATGATATGCTGGAGTTAATTGCATAGGTGTCATAAGTGTCGGTGTATTTTGTGTATTTCCAGACGTTGAATTGCACGTAATCTGTCGATTAACAGATTGTACAACTGTAGTAACAGGTATTTGATTAGGACGTGGTGGTGTTTGGACATTTGCGCTACCAGTGGCAGCAGTTGAAGAATGATTATGCGACGGCATGGGTACAACTTGTGGATGTGTAGGACGTGGACTAATCGAGTGATCAAAACCATTACCATGTACTAGATTAGGAGTTGCTACATGATGATATGGTGAATGCATTGTATTCGTTTGATGATGTTGATTTGGAGCATTAATCACACTAACAGAAGATGAATCACCAATAATAACCTGAGTATTTGGCCTACCAGCTGACTGAGCATATACCATCTGATGATTGGGTTTCGACTGTTGTCCTGTGATAATTCCACCTAAAATAGGAGAGGAAAACGATGCATTAATTACTGACTGTTAGAATAGATGTAATTATTACTTATCTTAAGAGGAGATTAATATTTGCCGATAATTAGAGATTAATGAAACTATATGGCAAAAATTCTGAATAAAAGAACATTTTCATACCAATGTCCACGACTGCTTATCAGATTTTTTTTAGGTGCATACTAATTTTCGATACCGTCAGTTTAGAAGTGAGATTTTGATTCTTAATACTTGACGAATTTTACTCAAGAAGAAGATGAAAAAAATGGTCATGGTGAAAATCATACACTAACAATGAAATCAGAAACAACGAAATCCCTCTCTGTCTAAATGATGGCATAGGTAGATGAAGGGATAAAATTGCTGCAAACAATACTACTCAACTTATACACCTCCTTACCAAAGGTATATAGGAGACTGTGAAGTCTGCACGACACGCAAACAACTTATAACATTAATTCGACCTTCAGAACAAAGTTGGTAGAGCCGGCTTTCAACTGGGAACCGACTGTATGAAAACTGAGTACATTATCCACCTCAGTGGAAATTAAAAAATCCCTACATAGCTACTGTCCTCCGATCCGTCAATAGATAGATTAACTTTACAACATGAACAACACGTGTAGTGGAAGGGCCGTGAAGTCGAAAGGAGTGGTAATAAGAAACAAGAAACAACATTACTACTGCCTTGAATACAACTAAACTAAACATAATTGCCATTTCATTTAACTTTTATAGAATGCTTACCTATATACCTCGACAAAGAGGGAAACACATACCTGAATGAACTTGTTGAGGATAAGTAGGAATTGGCTGCTGATGTTGCTGATGTATTGCTTGCTGTTGTAATCCATGTATAGAAATATTATTGTTATTCGATTGAGGTGTAGGACTAGTTTGAAAAAGAACTTTATTAGTCTGTGGTCGATTAGTCATTTGAGGCACAGGACGCTGATTTGTACTCACAGTTACTAAAGATGACTGATTTTGATGGAAACCATTCCCAGGTGTGTTAGCATTACCAGAACATGGTAAAACAGAACGCAGAAGCATGCCACCACTTGGTGTTGGATTATTTGAATTTCTTCCAAACTGTAAACACAATTACAACATTATAAATATTTAAATAACCGACGCTAATTTTTAGATTTCACTACATAAATAAATAAAAGTGATATAAATATACGATAGCTGTTTCGTACGTCTCATACCGGAGCCATCCATATACCAAGTAATCCACAAACTGCATACATAAATGTTTGCAAATCACAATATAAACAACAACTATTGTATGAAAGTTGGTGAAAGAGGACTCCCACCTACTAATAACCTTGGAAATCACTAACAAAAACAATAACGAATTAAATTTTCAAACCTCAAAATATCATGAAGCGTTTCAAAATCAGTAAGTAGTTTGGGATTTTCTTATTCAACTTATAGTTTCCGAGTTAAAAGTTGGTATGATATAAGTGAGCGTCAGTGGCACAGCGCTTAGGACGCTCGCCGACCATGCACATGGTCTGGGGTTCGATCCTCGACCGACGCACTCCTTTACCTCGTTAAGCCAGAAATAAAGTTGGTAAAGAGGAAAGGTTGGGCATGAGACTAGCAACCCCATCCTGTAAAAATGAACACTGCTACAGAAACTTCAAGCCTTTAGCTTGAAGTCCTATGTTCCATTGGGAACGTGAAGGAATAAAACAAAATGATATAAGTGCATGTGAATACCCATAAGTACCGAAGACTACTGTCTTTAAGGAACCTGACAAATATCGAAATACTCCCACAATTGTGTTAGTCACTTTATGACCTGACACACACACACACAAGGACAGATAGATCAACGTAGAACTGTGCACAGAGGTGCATCATTTCAAGTTATCACATATCGAAAAAGAAGCGAACACAAATGTAACGATGTTATAGTGGAAAATTGCGTGTAAAAAATCAGTTAATGTAGAGTAGTAAATATGATGGAAATTCCAATGATGATAAACAGTAATAATAACCACATACTAGTATCCCGATGACCACAACCGTGCAACGCATACCATCCTATACAACTGGAAAAAGAAGTTGGAAGATGTCTACTATTGTTGATTTACATACGTAAATAGCAGAAAAAGAACTACCGCGTAATACCTACTTTCTATGATGGTACGGAGTTGGTAAAATCATAACCATCCTATTTCACCCATACTGAAGTTGTCCTAACAACCGATCTACAAAGGCTGATGCAGCCTACCGAAAAGCTTAACTGATCAACACGCTGCACTTCTTAACCATATACGAGAAGTCGGTACAGATACGGTGTGTAATTACACAGTGCATGCTGAAAATACTCAGATATGTATATGGTCACGGTGTTTAGAAGACTCGATATTTTGTCTAACTTCATTTAACAGAACCATTTCACCTGTGTAGTCTAAGTAACCTAGCATTTTCTTAGCGAATAAGTAGATTCCTGAAAGGTTGAAACCAAATACAGTCATCTCCATTAACACTCATACAACAAATGAAGATGCATCCATAAGAGACACAATTGATTTTCAACTTTACATGGCTAGAATGCAGTTTATAACATAATTTCTCAGTAGTGTCTTCATAGACAAACAATAAATAATACAACACTCCTAGATCAACAGAGTCTAATATCCTCTTCAGATCAAGCAGTATGTTAACTGTTGAATACAGGCAATGCGTTTGTTTTCTACAACCTGTCGAAGGTTTAGGCTTTAATCAATGTATCCTCAAGCAAAGCCTGAAATTTGCTTGGTTTTCTAAGAATTGATTTTGCCAAATTTCATTTAGTCTTCTTATACTTATGATCCCTAGCAATTTAGGTATGATAATAATCACACTGATGAACCTTTCATCACGAAGGGGAAAAACTACTCGTCTCATATAAACCGGTATGGTCAATTAACCATATTAGTCTGATACAACTATCTCTGATTCACAAACACTAACTAATACCATACGTACTCTAACTTACATTTATTTAATACTATTGTTATATACATTTTGAATCAAAAGGTCAAATACAACTACTTAACTTATTTTCCGATTGCAGACAGGCTTTTGCAGTTTTGATCGGTGTTGGAAGATTGATCTCTACATCTTATTCAGAAGAGGATTGTATGGTAGACAAATTTATGGTACTATTGTAGTTCAGTTAAGCTGTTCCTCAATGTTTTTTGCCCAAAATTTTAGTGATTTGTCCTAAAACATTATTAAAGCTCCATCCATCTTGGAAATTGTTTCACTTAACGGTTTTTTAGCATGCCTCCTTAATTGATAATGATGAAATAGTTGATGAGTATCACTCGTTGACTCCTGACGAATTCTTTCAATTCTGTCACCCACCAGTGACCATGACTGTAATAAAGCCTCAGTTAATTCACATTCAATTCACTCTCAGTTCTGCTTTAACAAGAACATGTTTATCCGTGCTCATTTTTGTTTCAGAGGTAGACTTTCTTGTAAACTAAGTAATTTTTAAGTATCGGTTTGCGGGGATTCGATAATATATAAGTTAGAAAGCAGCTGGAATGCCAGGAAGTACTGGACAGCTATTTCGTTCTAGTTTGAGGCTCTTCATCAACGGGCACCTAAGTAATTATCACTATATGGTATCTTAAGTAGGCTTTTCTTCTTTTCTTGGATTTGGTTCAGGAAATCGACAGTTGTAGCTTGTGTAACTCAACAAACACACATAGGTATAATGAACCACATCGATTGTATGCGACTTAATGGCACAACTTGCCTTCCCTAAACATAGGTGGAGTGTGATCAGGATCCATTTCCTTCAAACAGACAATCCCCACTTTAGACGTATAAAACATAGCTAAATGGTGGTTTTAAAAGGGTTAAAATACAGTGTAGTATATACAGAATAAAGCGTCGATAGTTTAATGGTAGAATACTCGCTAACCACATACGTCATTCGGGTTCAATTTCCCACCAACACCCTCCTAAACCTCAGCTGACTTACCAGCCGATAGTAACCCTGGAAAAATAGGGAAGGTGGGCGTGAGGCTAGCAACCCCATCCCCTAAAAACAACGCCGTCACTAACACTTCAAAGATCAAAACTCAAATCCCAATGTCCCAGCGGGAACGCAAAGGAATGAGGGAAAAATACAGGATAAAATGAAAATAGATATGATTGGGAGTGTAACTAATAACATTTGGACCTGAAAACCATAGCTGTCAAGTTCAGAAAGTGTTCGGCAGCTATCAGTTATAAACAGCTACATAAGTGGTTGGGTATTTTACGTAAGGCATCCATCAACGCCCTAACATTTAGATTCCAAAATAAAAAACGATAATTTTAACGCTGACACTTCATAATACACAACTAAAACCTAACGAGTTATTTTAAAACAAGACAACTTACTGCATTTGGCATTGATTGGTGTTGTGCGGCAATTATCTGTTGTCCAGTCGGTGACTGAAATATAATTTGTTGAGGATGTTGATTTTGATGTGGTTGTTGTTGTTGCTGTGATTGTTGTGGTTGAGGCGTGTAACAACCATGAATTGCTTGATATTGTGCGGGGACAGTTGCAGTAGCAGGTGAAAGTTGAACTTTCTGCTGTTGTGGTTGTTGTTGGTAGTGTTGTGCAGGATGTGTAGCTAACGAAGCAGAATACTGGTGTTGGACTTGTGGTTGTTGATGTTGAGGTTGTTGTTGTTGTACATACTGACGATTATTCACTGACGGACGGGTAGGTGATGATTGTGTTTGAATTTGTTGTTGTAATTGTGACATTTTACCACCTACCATGGAAGAATGTTGAGATATTAAATTAGTTGGTGACGATTTAATCTGGTTTCCACTGGCATTGCCACCACCACCTCCAGGTGTACCAGTATTGAGGGAACTAGTATTATTACTTGGTGAATGCAGTGCAATATGAAGTTGCACTGACTGTTGCTGCTGATGATGATGTGGTGTCGACGTAGGTGTAGTTGTTATACTACAGTTTGACTGACTAATCATTTGTTGTTGATGAGGTGTACGATTATCAATTATCATTGCTGGTGTTGACTGTGAATTATTAATAGATGAACTGGCAACTGATGCAACCATATGATGTTGCTGCTGCTGCTGTTGGTGTTGTTGTTGATGGTGATGATGATTTGTTTCAGATAATAAAGTTTGTTGAATTGGAGAAGCATAAGATGTTGACTTAATCTGAATTAGTTGACTACCATTACCGACACCAATAGTAGCCCCGCCACCAACACCACCACCGCCACCATTTCCACCAGTAGACTGTAACAACAACTGTTGAGTTATTGGTTGTGAATTAACAGTTTGTTTATTGTGTGAATGTGTTTGTTCAATAGCTGAATTATGCCCTGATTGATGATGATTAGACTGATATAAGTGATTCGATGATGACTGGATTATATTACTAGCTGATATTTGATGAGGATTATGATTATGATGTTGGTGTGGATTATGATTACTTGTTAGTAGAATATCTCCACTGCCATCTGAACTAATTATAGTAGCCATGTCAGGTTGTGCTTCTATATTGTCGTTCTGTGGAAGAAAAACAAAACACACGATGAATATGACAAAATGAGATACTTTCCCTGCTTGTTAGTAATAAGATAAAGAATATAACTCAATTGGCTGAGTACATATTTTTCACGTGATAGACTATAATGAAAACGCCAGGTTGGCCAGAAAAGTAATATGCAGAGTTGGGTTTAAAAGTAAGTTAGCTAAACTTCCACAACGGCATTTATCACGCAATATAATATGTTGTAAAATGTACTCAAAGTAGCAGAAGAATAACTATCTTAGATAGATAAATACGATTTATGATGTTACTCTATTGGCCTTTGAACTAAACTTCAGTCTAAAGAGTTATGGAGTGATCTCACGAGCCAACCATCTACTTTAAACTAAACGACTGGATAGTTTCACGCAACACAAATATGTATGAGGCTCTTTTTCCACTATCCAGTCTAGCCTACTTTTTCTTTGCGTGTTGTTTTTAAGCTTGGTAAGTTTAATCCTATTTTAAGAATCTTCGGTGGAGCAAGTTCTTGATAAACCAAGGTTGATCGCACATGGGATAGTAGACGATAGGCAAGTCTGTCATCTTTTTTATATACCCAGTTGGATTAACTATGCACACATGTTCAGAAAGCGCAAACATACAGCTGAAAAACTTTTAGCCTAGTACACCAACTCTTACTTTTTAACCGTAATAACAAGTGAAATAGGCGGTTACTACTGAAAAAGCCTGAATTAAAACATGTAACAACCACAGATAGTAATTAACGATAAAAAAAATATGCAGCATGTTAGTATAATAAAACGATACCTCGAAAACTTAACTGATCAATTCAATAGTCAATGTTACAGATTTAAATCGAACGAAGTTAACTAAATAGGCAGATTTACATAGAACAGGTAAATGTGACAGTGAAGATAATAACAAGTAGCTTTTGTGGAGCAGACGAGAATATGATAGATACTGCAAACTCTGAATCGTCTACTACGAACAATTTCAGTTCACTATTTTTTTTCATAAGTTGTGACTGAATTGAAACTGCTTCGATGGCAAAACAAAATTTCTTTTAAAGTAAGCAAAATATTTATACTTTGTGACATACTACTTATGTTTTACTGCAAATAGTAATTATCTCCAGCTTTGTCATGGATTGATATTAGTTAGAGGACCATTGAGAATCAGGGAGTACTGGACAATTGTTTCGTTCTCTTCTTGGACTCTTCATCAGTGCGCACTCATGACGGGGTATTGAACTCAAGACCTTCAGGTTACGACGCGAACTCGTTGACCATTCAGCCACTGGAGCGAAACCCAGTGGCCTATGAATCCCAACCGATGAAGAGTCCCAAATTAGGACGAAACAGATAAGCAGTACTCTCTAATTTTCAGTGATTCTCTAACTGATATCAATCTATGAAACTAATCAATACCTTACAAACTAACACTTTAAAATCATACTTAATTCCTATATACATAGTAAACTGAGACTCACTTGTTGGTATGGTTGACGAGTAGTACGTACAAATAAAGTTGGCTGTTGAACTTGTGCAGCATGCTGAAAATGTTGAACACTGGCTTGGTGTTGTTGGGATGACTGCTGATGCTGTTGTTGTCCCAAAGTTGAAGTGTTGACGGCAGTCAGTATACCACTAGCTCGTTGATACGGATCTAGGAAGGAAAGAAAACAATTAAATGAGCTGATTGTTCTTGGATGAGCAACTCGAAATCGCCTCAGATTTTATTCTCATGTGTTTGACTGTCTTCTTTGCACCAACCAACACAGTAACTGTTACGAACGTCTTCAATACAAATAAGGATAAAAGCCACTCAGTAGGGGATTATCATATCACTCAATGTTTTCTGAGTTTCGTTATTTGTCAAACGTATCATCATAATTCACTAGGTTCACATAGTAGATTTATATATGCGTAGTGTTCATCAGTGTGACATGCGATAGTACTAAAATAGAAATCACCCATAAAAAAGAAGGCAATCAACAGTGGGTGGGACCAGAGTTGCGTAACTTTACTAGTCAGGCTAGAAGTAGAACCCTCTGAGCAAAAAGTCCCACCATAGCTACAATGACTGGTGACTGAGTAAAACAATTATATAGTAGTAAACTAATGTAGAAAGTAATTACAAAAAATGTGACTAAGAGCATGTACTCTGAGTGTAGAGTAGTTAGTGAACAGCATTTTCAGAGTTTAAGGTTCATCTCATCAAATCTGATCAACTAAAGTAAACAAAACTTTTAGACACATAGGCTTAGATTCTGTAGGAAAAAGCCTTAGACTTCTTCACTTCAGAGCAAAAACGGAATTTGATCATTAGAATTTGACTACAATAAATATTATTACCTAAAATATATACTTTGAGGTACTGCTAAGACAAAAGTATATCATACGTATGGGATGAACAAATCAACATTTAAATTGTTCACCTACTTTGAACAGGAAAAGACTGTGTATGCAATTGCCCATGTGTAGATTGTTGAGATACACTTGCAACAAGTTGACCACATGGATGTCTTTGCACAATATACGCTGGCGTTCCCGGTGCTGATTGTGGTTGATGCGATGCAAGTGTAGCTGTAGTTAAGTAATGCTGCATGCTAGTTGATCTTTGAAGTTGTGTTGGCGTGCCTTGAAGGGAATTATTACTAGCCGGTCGATACTGCATTTGTTGAAGACTACCAGTTAATAAGACAGAAGGAAGTGCTGACCCAGCACAACCTGCCATTACTATAGACGGTTGTTGCTGTGGTTGTTGTTGTTGTTGCTGCTGTTGTTGTTGTTGAATATGCTGTTGATGAGGTGCTGCTAAAGTTTTAGTAATTCCAGTAACTTTAGCATTTTTCGGCGATTTCGGAGATACCTTATGACCCATAGTACTTCCTACTGCACGACAAGGAGATTTTGGTGATTTAGGCTTACGATGATTACCAGAGGTTTGAGAAGAACCAAGATTGGATGAACTCCCACCATAGCCAGAAGTGATAAGATTTCCTAAACTAGAAGAATTACCTCCTTGTAGACCAGAAAATGAATTTGGTCCATTTTGACCATGTCCAGAATTGTTACTAGAAGAATGATTGTCAGAAGAGGAATTTGTTGAAGAAGATCCCCGACCATGAGAAGATTCCTGTCATAATAAAGGAGTGCGTTATTAGAAGTATGAGTTTTTAATTTAAAAAGAAAGACATTAGAAATAAACAAACGATTGAGTTCACGGCTGTTGTGTTCCCTTTTATCTGCTAACATTTAAGAGAGAGAAACGATGAAGCTGATGAGTTATCTACACCATCCCTACGGCATTTATTGTTATCTGCAGTTTAGCAATCTACTGTTATTGTGCTGGAATTTAAGCATATCCAAATGGAAGAAGACACGTATCGTGAATTTCAACACCGTCAATAGACAAAAAATAACAGCAATTTCTGAGCTAAAAAATATACCACTCGCATGTACTGTTCTAGGTCAATTACTTATGTTCTTAATCCACTAGAGACTGACTGCAATCTGAAGTGTCTATTAGTATTCGCTGATTGGAGTATTGGGGAACACACTCCTAAGTGTACATTACACATTTTGAAGTTCTACATGCGCTTTTATTAAGAAGTGCTAACAAAAGTGAATGGTTTCCCTACAGATACTACTCAAATAAGAAAAACGACTATTTGTCTTATTTTTAACGACTAGCTGAAATGGCAATAAATGTATTTAGTTTTATATTCTGAAAACTATAATAACCGATATGAAATACAATTTTACTACTGGGCCTATTTATTAGTAGTATGAAGTGACTACACATCAATAACATATATTACAAATAGAATTACACTTACTCGATTCCATGTATGTTGTAGGCTTAAAATGTTTTTTACATTTTGCATTACAATAGCATCTTTTTCTTCTTCATTTAAATTTTGTTCTTGCATATGTTTGCTAGACTTTGATTTACTAGTCTTTCCATGATGTCCAGTACTACTACTTGTACTATTACTGCTAATACTTATTAAATTGGTGGTTGATGCTGTTATCGATAAGGTTGTCATTGCACCACCGCTAATGGTACTATTTGCAGAAATTGGTAAATAATTATTACTTAGTATTACATTTGTATGGTTTCCTGGCACACTACATGCTGAATAATTGGATCCTCCTGATGAATTAGAATTTCCGATGATATCTGTAATACAGAAGGAAAAAAAGAACTATTGAATACAAATATACAAGAAGTAAACATGACCGCAGAAAGTTGTCATTTTATTGGGAATAAAAATGCCTTATCATACATAGTAAAACGTTTATAAAAAGAAGGCAAATGTGGCTCATCGTCTTTAATATTTAATTATCGACTAGTAGATTCAAATGTTGCTCAGCTTAATAATTTATTCTGAGTGAGTGGATAGAATTATCAGCCCTCTATACACAAAATCTATTTCTGGTAGCTGAGTTCTATCTAGTAAACTTGAACAGATCGCCATTTCAATACATAAAATTAAGGATATATTGTATAAACTTACATACAAGTAACGAGCTGTGGTTGGTAAAAGTTGGTAAGACACTAAAAATTTGCTTCACCAACCACAGTTTAATTTGTTAAACAATGCTTCTGCTAAATCCATTCCATTATGAGTGTGATTTATCGCAATAAGTATAAATAAAAACACTACCTTTGATATCTACCGTGTTTCCTTTAATTGAATGGACTCTTTTACCTGATATAGATCTTCTAAGCAGCAGGCTTTGAGCTGTACTCATTTTGTGAGGGTCGACGGTCGCCCAAATATTAATTAGGTGAAGCACAATTCAAATCAGGAACCTTTTTGGCCGAAAGTCGAAATCCTGGGGCTAATGAACCACATATATCGTTTACACGTATTAAATGGGAAGTATCAATGAAGAACGTCCCGTCTCGTAGTCTTTTGTCATCACTGTTACCATTATTAGGCAACTCATTGTGTGTTCTGTACTCGTACAAGACTATGAGGTCCAACTCAGTGTGTGGATCAGGGCACTTACCAGTTCAATGAACCATTATATATATATATATATATATATATATATATAAACGTGTTAGCAATTACTTTTAGAGGACACAAGTGAACTGAATGAAGGTTAGTCATTACTCATGGACCACCAGATAGAGAAACAGGAAAATTCTCAAGTAAGTTACGCCAAATTGAAACCAAAATTATTTATGAAAGGCGTCAAATGAAAACATAATGAAGAAAAGCACATTAATAACTATTGAGTACTCCATACAGCCAGAAACTGTTTTTAATAGTTCTGGCTTCACAAAAATCACATTGATAAAGCCACTTATCTTGAACATGAATCGATCATAATAAAAGCCTATTCAGATAGCAAATAGAAGATAAGGAACACATAATATTTGTGTTAATCTTAGTTCAAGCATCTTCGTAAGCATGTCTACGCATTCTAGGTTAAAATGTGGACATGTGTCATTGGTGAACCTAAACAGAAATGCTTTCCGACTTTTACTGACACTGTAGTATATCTCAAATACATCCGTAATAGTAAATGTTGGTTGAGAATGAAAGGAAAGTGGTAAATAAGCAAAATCACTATTAACCTCGATATTTTTCAAAGTTATAGACTGTTAAAATAAAATTATTGAAAGCTTTCATTCCCGGTAAGACGAAAGCAGTTTACACATACCAGAGCCTGTAATTTGTTGCGCCATTCCTTGTTGGACAGTAGGATCAGTGTAGATTGGTAAACCAGATGGAAAACGCTACAATGTAAACAGAAATTAAATAAGCATAAATCATACTGAAAAAAAAGACGCAAAACAGAAAGAAAAACGTTAACACACGCAAACTATATGACTCCTCAGTACACTGCTATTCAGCTACTAGTAAGAAGACAACACCGACGTCAAATCAAATTGGAAATATTGACTGGAGTATAACTGAAAGCTTTTTTTCCCAATGAACACCACTTCAGAAACACTTCAGTTAAGAAAGACAAAAATGGGAACTGAGAAAAAGCGGATACTAAGTAGTTATGATTAATACTGTAAGTACATTTAGGAACTTAATTTCATAAAGGCAGAAAGATAAGTAAATGAAGTCAAAGTTCTATGTTGCTAAAACCATGCAATACATAAAAAGATAGGAAAATGAATTACGCTTATTTAACATTACAACTATTAGTAAATATCGGTCAGTGGATCCGGATTCTAGCACCCAACCCAAGGATTAAAAGTCAAGAGCATAAACCAAAGAAACACAGGTCCATGAAGGTTCAAATAAATGGATGTGATTTCACTTAATTCTCATACGAGTTTTCCTAGCATATCTTGTGACGTACCAATAAGCAACTATAACTACGAAAGAATTCTGCCGAAGTTTAACTCGACACATCATTTTAAAACTCAGATATCATTAGGAGCACGCTTCTTGGATATCAGTCAAACAGAGAGTTGTCAGCTACGACACCGACAAATCAACTGTAGATTACACCGTTTGCGCACAAATATTATTTAAACAAGCGAAAACATGCTACAGTACACTACTCCATGGAGTAAACAAACGAAAAATTAGTCAATTTCCATTTCTCATAGAATAAATACTCATATAAGCATACTGAAAGGTATTTAACAAATTCTTCATCAGCTATAAAAAGCTAACCACATAAACCAACAGTGGGATCACTCTGTCATAAACTAAGGACATGACCGAGATGACAATAGTGAAAGCCAAGGAATGAGAGATAGCAAAAGAAAAAAGCACATATCACTGCACAATCATGGATGCTAATTAAATTGATCTAATTTGCGAATTTCTGACAGAGAAAACTAAGATTTTCGAAAGCTTGGCACTCAGGTAAGTCGGTAATCAGTACCTACTTTAACACTATCGTGTGTCAGACAATAAGAATGACAGAAAAAAATAATAAAGTCAGAACTCCAGCCAGTGAATATACACATATAAACAGTGAAGATGAGTGCAGAAACAAGCCAGTCACACGCAACATCAGAAGAACAAACAGCCAGACTATTTAGACAGAAAGTTATACAGTTCACTATCTTCTGAAATTAAGTGAGAATGATACTGCGTCCAGCGGTAAAGAATTCTGTACGATTAATATTTCCAAATCAAAGGACGAAATACAATCAAGGTTATCCTTATTTTAACAATGAAGAGTGTTTACATTTAACCTTTCTGTAGTAGCAAGTAAATAAAAAAGTACAATACACATACGCTTTAATGAAGTCTAAAAAAGTAGAAAGCCTCTAGGTTTATATCTTATGAACATATACACTTTTTAAATCATAACTGCCTTCAGGTGATCAATAACGACTGGATACAACTGATTAAGACGTTGAAAGCATTGCTTGGGTGTTATAAGGACACGGAACTAGAATTTTTAAAGTTAAACGTAGTGTTCTAGATAAAGATGGTTAGACAAATGAGGAGATATATACTTGATATAACAAGATACGGTTAACTTGAAGACGTTAGATTGGCTGCATCAATAATGAGCTGAAAAGGAGGCTGAGAAAATCCAGAACAAGGTACAACTGTAATCCACCTAGTTATTAGATGCTGGACTAAGTGATGTACACCTTTTTTACGACTCCTCATATTGGCCTTTGTTACGGTAGAAATAATCGGTTGAAGATTTTAGGACAGTCCCATGTGGCTATGATTTATAAGCATTTTCTTTTCAACTTACACCAAAGTTTGAATATGGTATTAGCTTATGCACATTTATTGCACCTCAGTGCATATTACTTTCGTTAATCTTAATGTCTCTACCTTTTTGACTTTTTTTATAATGTTATGAAGTATGCCTTGTTGGATGACAGCTTTTTGTAAAACATTCTACCTTAATCTACTCTCCTACAACTAAAAATAGGTGTGAGGGAATTATGTCAACTAAAGGTAAGCAACCAAACAGTGAGTAGAATTTTTTTTCTAAAGCATCCTAACATGTTACGAATAATGCTAACACTTTCATCTTACCTGATTAACACTACCCTGAGCACCACTCACTGGGAATCGCTGAGGTGCAGCTATATTTTGAGCAACTGGATTACGATTCGCTAAGGGCGACGATAATGAGAAACGTTGTTGTTGCTGCTGCTGATTACCACCTCGAGATTGATCTTGGGCGGCTTTCTTAGATGAACCACGACCAGAACCACCACCACGTGAATGTCCTCCACGACCAGGCCTACCTGGTGTCACACCATCATATTTGGCCTTTTGCTCCACAGCTCTCATATTCTAATAAATATAAAGTATTTGGAAAAAAAATTAACTCCAAATGAGAAAATCTAATTGGGTATTTTCAACTTTTCACTCAAAATCCCGAACACAATGAAGCGAAATACAAAACTACAAAAAAATATATAGGAGAATAATCTAGGATATTTTAAATAACTGACTGGCAGAATTCACTGGTACACTGTCAGAATTAACAATGTGGCTTCAGTTACTACGATTAAAACAAGCTGCGTCGGTGGCACAGTGGTTAGGACTGTCGCCGACCATGCACATGGTCCGGGGTTCGATTCCCTGCCGACGCACACCTGATATCAATGGTCGGCCTGCTAAATTTGGGCTACCGATATCACATGCTGAAAATTTCATACTTGTACCAAAAGTACTGTGTGGAATCAAGCTATAATCAAAATAATAATAAATAATAATAATAAACAAGTGGTAATAAATAGACTGTTAGTCAACTTTTTATTTCTCAAGTAACATAAGCATCATATAGATGAGGAAACAATAAAGACAATTATAGTTACAGCAAGATAATCTAACAGATGCATCATAAAACTTATTAGGATTATTAGTAAAAAGTGATAAAAACTAATAATAATAATTATAACTCACAATTTGCTGAACACTTAAACCAGTTGCCGCTTGCACATTTGTTCCACCTGATAATACTGATGACAGCTGTTGTGATGATGACTGTAGTGTATGCATAATTTGATTATTCTGAACCAGATTTTGTTTACTTGTGATGATTTGTGATGATTGCTGTTGTTGTTGTTGTACATTATTTGTGCAATTCAATATATTACTAATTGCAGTATTCGTGTTTGTGTTTATATTAGGATTAGTAGCTGAAGATGTTGAATCGACTGTACCGTAACTGTGGTTATTGTTCATCATTAAATCACCACCAGACAGTGTAGAGTTGATAATTAGATTTGATTCTTGCTTTATTAAACTATTCAGTGAGATATCATTATTATTTTTATGCATATCAGATTCTTTAGGTTCATTCAATTGTTGCTGTTTTAAAGACATCTGTTTAGACGATGATGGTGATGGTAATTGTGATGGTGGTGGTGTTCTACGAACTAGTAAATTAGGATGATATGATTCACATGCCAGTAGACTATTCTGTGCTAAACAATCAACAATCCAATCAGGTGTGACTAGGACAGGCTTTGTGTTACTTTCACTATCCGTACTATCATTTGTCAACTTCGTAGTCACATAATCATAGAAGTTCTACACATGTTATTTTTTTTTTAATTGAGAGAAAAAGGAAAAAAATAGAATAGAATTTGAATAGAGAAGACATTTATTAAGCAGTAAAAGACTGTAACCCATCAATGTTGTGCTTAATCAATCAGTATGATCCCAACCAAAACCCAACCTGGGTTTTAAGAAGACTAAGCCGAACACAGCCGTATACCACAAAGTGAATTACAAGTTATCCAGTCGAAATTTTCCAATAACCGAAAACTAGTAAGTAAGCGTCGGTGGCATAGCGGTTAGGACGCTCGCCGACCATGCACATGGTCCGGGGTTCGATTCCCGGCCGACGCACTCCTTTACCTCGCTAAGCCAGAAATAATGCTGGTGAAGAGGAAAGGTTGGGCATGAGGCTAGCAACCCTATCCCGTAAAAGTAAACACCACTGCTACCGAAACTTCAAGCCTCTAGCTTGAAGCCCTATGTTCCACTGGGGAACGTGAAGGGATAAAAAAAAGAAAACTAGTAACTGGTAACCTAACATGAAACTGAGTACAGTGAAATCAACCCTTACTTAACTCTTTACTTAACTTGTAGTTTTGTAAAACCTCTTTATAATCACTATTTTCCATACCACGGTTTTTCAAATTCCTTATAAAGTCAAACTTTTCTTAATTAATATCAGTCCAAGTAAAAGTAATGCTACCCCAGTGACGAATCAGACGGTGATAAGTTAAACTTGTTTAATGGCTCATGGTATCACACGGCTGTTCGAAACCCAACGAGTGAACTAAGGCATAAACCCGTAACCTATTAGGTGAAGGTAAAACAATCAAACAAAATCACACATGCTTCAATTGTTTTGATGTTCCTCCTTGTGTGGAGCGTCTCTTGCAGCCCATAATGTACTAAGGGTTTTTGTGATTTCCCCTCTCATTTTACTTTGTAAAGCTTTTCATTGAATATCTACCATCAAGAATCTTTGATACCTATGTGTAACCGATGGCTAAATATCATATCCCGCTAATATCTTTTTGAATAAAAAATAAGTACAGCCAAACACCTTGCATCTTTCATCATTATAGAAATGATTGCCTAATAAAAACAAATGATGTACAGATTAAAATGCAAGATTAAATTATTCTGGACTAGTTTAAAGATGACGCCTTTAACTGTATCGTGTATTACAAATCGTTAGAAAAAAACCAAGGCGAATTCTGAAATTTGGCAGTAGGCATAGATCCCGAACTTTTCAGTGAACTGACCACTAATTTACAAACAATAAATTACAGCTGATCTTTAATGTGGATACCATTTCATCAGGTTATCAACTTGCCATTGCTACTAATTTGATTGTACGAACATCAGGAATTCGAGTTTTGTCTTCACTGACACTTCTTAAGAATGAATACGCGTAATAGTAAGGGGAATAATGCTCTGTATACCATTCGAAACAACATTTCTCACTACTACAATCATAATATACTGTCAAAACACAATGTTAGTAAACGACAAACAATTCTTCTTAAAAGTATAGTAGTTACTCTAGGTATCTTTTGAAACACAGCTAAAGAAATGTATTTTTTTAATCTATCTAATTATTGTTTCGTTGATGAAATAGGTAAAAACAAAAATGAGATGAATAAGCAACTTACCCCAGTTGCCTTGGCAACAACTACATGAGTTACAGAATTATCCAAATAATGACACATTTCGCCTCCATGTATAACTACATGGGCCCATATTGCAAGTCGATCGGCTGTACCCAACTAAAATAAATGAAAGTTACAGTATAACCAAGACAAGAAATTATGACGTACTCCACTACATGCAATTTTGGTCCCTTTGAATATCTGTTTAAAGTCTGGATGGAAAGGACGAAATCTATAATTTTCCATTTAGTAAAACAATTTACAGAATCTTACGGTAAGAACTTTTGAGCCTCAGCAGATAGTTTTACCCAACGACTCTAAATTAAACAATGAAAAATTAGAATACGATATTACAGTGACGACTGGGACAGCATAAAGTTCTTCTGCCTCCCCAACTTCTGCAAGGGACGGATCATCACTGATAGCGAAACGTATACTCTCTGACAAAAATGGATGACTAACTGCACCCGACGACTTCAAAAGATCTACCACCTAAAATTCAAGAGAAACAATAAGTGGTTATGAATGAGAATTTTGAAATAATTCTTCAACAAAAAATATTTTCTGTGTAAAAATTGCAGTTACTAGGCAGTTGTGTTACACTTACTCCAATCGATAGCTGCTACCTTGACGTGGTGGTCGGGCTTGCATATCGCAATGACCCAACAAGCTACACTAGTTGGAACTTTTGTTCCTGCAGCTCCTACCATGCCAGGAAGGTTGTTAGGATAGCGATTAGACTAAAAACAGTTACCGGCATAGTGTAAGAATTTTTCTTTTTTACACTGTGTTGGAAGTCTGTGGGCGAAGTCCTACTGCTGGGGAACAAGGATGTAACAGCAGTAAGGTGTTTCCCTCAGATGACTAGCATGTCAGTTATGTTCTCTCCACTCTGGAGAGAAGCGGTTAGAGAAGGTCGACCCCTACAATTGTACATCCCGACTTACCCTACGGTGGTCCGTAACCGGCGGTAAGTTTACTAATACGGAACCAAACCAAGAAACCAGTTCATACAGGCCATGTGTAACCGGCCTCAAGCAGTTGTCCCCTGGGCTCTGCGGTCACGCAACACTAACTCTCTTTCTGTTTCACGTACCCCAAGAATAAATCAACTTCCATGGTGTGGGCAGTCGAGAAGTAAAAACCGCCCACACACTTCCAAGAGCACACGAAGCCTTCCTGAACATCATTCTCTTTTACCCACATCACCTTCCTCATCTTCACTTCACTCTGTGACCACAAACAATGATGAGAGTCATAGAAACACACCCCCCGACAGCCTCTTAAAGCCACGTCGCCAACTTCATATAGGAGCTTTCAACATCAGGACCCTCTGAAAAATTGGACAAGAGGCATCACTAGCAAGAACTCTGGCATCTCGAGCCATGGATGTATGTTGTGTTTCGGAGACACGCATACAAGACCTGAGTGTGGTCATTCACTTAACCTCACCCGGCCAACAAGGTGAGTCTGCAAAATTCACCTTAAGTGTGTCAGGAGACCCCTCAGCTAGTTCGCGAGGACTCGCAGGTGTAGGAATAGCACTGAGTGTTAGGGCAGAAGAATCACTTCTTGACTGGATCCCAGTAGATAGTCATATGCGTGCGTTCCAACTCAACGGATACGTTAGAAGAAGGAAAGACGGCGTTACTCGTCGTTGTCTTTTCATAGTCTCTCCTTACGCCCCAACAGACTGCAGTTTGGATGAACTAAAGGATGACTTCTACCTGAAACTGTCTAATTTGCCGCAAAAAGCAAAACACTCAGATATAGTTGTTTTCGCAGGCGACTTCAATGCCCAAGTAGGGAAGTTGTGACAGACTGAGAAGTATATAGGTGGTACGTATGGAGTTTCCTGCCGACGAACCGACAACGGTGATCGTCTTCTACAGTTCTGTCCAGATAATCATCTGTTCTTGGTCAGCACTAACTTTAGGCACAAAGAGAGACATTGTGTAACCTGGCGACCTCCATCACCAAATCAACGCTGGACTCAGATAGACCACATAGCGATAGGGTATCGTTGGCGAGGGTCAGTAGAAGACTGCCGCTCCTTTTGGAACACGTGCGTAGCCTCCGATCAGGCTCTGGTCCGCGCACGTTTATGCTTACGTCTAAACGGACATAAAAAATTGTTGGCAGCTAGATAGGAACTCTGAGTCCCTATTTAAGGGAGAAATAGCGAAACGAGTATCTGAGGTTGACAGCAAGACTCATCCTGAGGAAGCCTGGTACAACACACAGTTAGCTGTAGATACAGCTGTAAAGGCTGTTAATAACCTGAAACCTCAAGTTAGTAAGAGCCATTGGATTTCTGCCACCTCATCCGAACTGACTGACGCAAGAAGACTGATTCCGGAGAGCTCCGATTATGATGAGGAGCGAAAGCTACTCAAACGCAAACTAACAAGAAGCTTCGTAACAAACATGAACAGTGGTGGGCAACAAAAGCGAACGGGATGGAATAAGCATCGGCGATTAGTAATGCCTGACAACTATTTAGACTTATCAGGGAAACAGGGAGTAAAAGGTAAATGATAATTGAAACAATCTCTGAGGAAAATGGCACCATAATTAGCTCCCAAGACAGACAACTATAACGTTGGAAACAACACTTCGAGGAGCGATTCAACTGGCCTACAGCCACGCTTAACCTAACGAACATTCAACACCTCTAATGGATATAACACAGGTCCATCCTACTGAGTACTAAGGCTGTCACTAATCTGAAGAGAAGCAGCAGGACCTGATAGAATGACTAGAGGTTAAGATGGAGAATTTACTGTCAGCGTTAACTAAGATGTTAACAGGTTGGAATCAGAGGATCCGTGGTGTGTAGTAGATATCGATATAAAGAAGAGGGAAGTTTCTGTGAAATCCAGGGTTATCAAAAGGGGAATAAAGATTATTAAATTATTTAGTTGTCCTACAGGTCAATCGCGAGTCCGAATAGCTCAGTGGTAACGTCTCTGAATGCAGCACTGGGTGATGCGGGTTCGAATGTCAGAAGGGACATGAGTTCCTTCAAGGTTGCAGATACGCCTTGCTGACTGGTGAGTACCGACTAGCACGAAACCTAGGTCGAAGGCTTCCTGCCGATTGCCTCCAACTATCTAATCGTTATATTTCTTGACCTAAAGGCGGCATTCGATTCTGTCGACCGAGAGGTACTATGGCGAAAGGAATGCCAAGAAAATATATTGTACTGATCAAGGCACTCTACTCGAACACTATGTTGTACTAGGCTTCCTCAAGAGACAAGTCTTGCTGCCAAGTAAGAGCTTACGGCGAGTTGTTATCTGAAGTGGTGACAACTAGTGGTGTTCGTCAGCGATGCCCGCTGTCCCCATTCCTATTCAATTTCATCATAGATGCACTAATGGACTTAACCCTAACTCAATTCAGAGACTCAGGGATTGACTTGTTACCAGGGAATAACCTCGTTAACTTAGAATATGCAGACGATATAGTCCTTCTAGGTGAAGACGCTGACAAAATGCAGCAGAGTCTTCTGAACACCTTGAAAGGCAGCAATCTTCGAATGTTTGGCATGCGATTCGCTCCCTCTGTCAAATGAAAGATGATGCTACAGGACTGGACTACATTGACTTCTAGCTTAGAAATAGGGAGTGAATTGGTTGGTGCAGCGTGTTGACTACTTCACTTATTTGAGAAGTTGCATCAGCCCCAACGCCAGCGGGGTTGATCGCTGACGAAATCTCAGTACGGATAGAGAAGGCTCGTTTCGCATATGCCAGTTTACGCCTTCTCTGGCGTAGACGTGACATCCAGCTGGCTGTCGACCAAAGGCCGTGTGTACTGCTCAGCGGTTCGCTCCGCCTTCCTTTATGGCTGTGAGACCTGGCCATTGAGAGTGGAAGACATGAAGAGCCAGGCTAGCTGTCTTTGATTATAGGTGCCTGCGTTCTATCTCCCGTGTTAACTGGTAGAATAGGGTGAGCAATATCGAGGTTAGGCGTCGAGTGCTAGGTAAGGAGGAGAAATCAATCGACGAGGCTGTGAAGCTACATCGGCTGAGGTGGTTAGGACATGTTTTACGTATGCTTAGTCATCGATCGCCTTCCTCGCAAGGGCAATGTTAGCTGACATAGAGTCAGGTTGGAAAAGAGCCAGTGGTGGTCAAACCAAAACATGGTTTCATCGGTCAATGAAATCCACAACAGTTAGTTTGAGCCACGTAGGAAGGCGTGGACTTCCTGACTAGTTGCGGTCCTTGGGACGGTAAACGCCAATGAAGGCTGGAGACAATTGGTGATATGGTTCAAAATCGTTCCCAATGGCTGATGCAGATGCATCCACTCCTTGTGACTTATAATACCCAATAAAAGTATATTGTTCTTCGATATTACTATTCTGTTTGCCTCATATCTCTGTTTAATGTCACTGTTTTGTATTTCTTTTTACTTTCTTCCCTTGCTTTGTGTGTTACATGGAGTGTGACGACTTGAACTGCTGCATATCGGTGCAAAGTTCTGTTGAAACCAGTCAGTCAGTCAGTTACACTTACTGTATGAGAGCTGATAATACTACCCAAGGCTGAATTAAGTAGGACCTACTAGATGAAAGCTATATGCTAAAATCAAAGCACCACACCCCTATAGCTGCTACAAATACCTTCTACACATTAGAAAGTCTCATTAGTTTAAGCACAATTTCATTAAAACTGGACCGAGATAAATTCACATCTGCCGAAATACTGGTCAGGGAAACTTTTTATATACATGAAAAATAAATACTTACACTATCCGACCATTTAACTGGAAGGTAGATTCTACATGTCAAAGAGGTAAGTCACGTGTAAGTAATAAAGTTATGAGTAGTTAAAAACCAGCAGTCGAAGCTAATATTATTTATATTTGCCGAAAAATCAATTTCGAAAGTGTGCTGTTGTAAGATACGGTTACTTCCTACAAGATAACGAGACTGAAATTACTTAGTTACTTTGATACCAGTCAGCGAGTGATTTATTTTTCTAAAATGACATAATGTTGAAAATTAACGAACAAGTTTGACTTCAAACAGCACACAAACAAGTACACTTGCACAAAACTGCACTAACTCAAGATGCAGCTTCCGAACAGCATACAAAAATGTGAATGGGAATAGAATACTACATAAAACTTAGCAAAAGTCATTATTCACGTTATGGTAGGTGGAATCAAATACAGTTACTTATGGTATGCTAACCACGGATTGATAACCATAAATGTGAGCAAGAAGCCATTGAAAACGACTGTGTATCTTATGAGAATCCTTAAATTACACAAGCGGAAAGATACTACAATAAACACATGAATGTAAGAACAATAATCTCATGAAATTCATAGAGGGTGAGTGACTACTTCTGCATCACTATCAACAACTCTAAGTCATTTTTTAAACAGCGAGAATTAACATATTAGAAACACCTACATGGTTCAAATCACTAGCGAACGATCACAAATTGGTGATGTACTTTTATCTTACCATCCCTAGCATTTTCTCCAAGTCACCATTATTTCATAGTACAGCGTCTCAGTACGCGTAACACATATCAATCACCTTAATGGATGAAGATAGTTAACTTTGTTCATCAATAAACGTTACCTGACTAACACTAAATCTAACCCTAACGTTAATTACTTTACTTACTTTACTTCGGCTATCTCCTACGGGAGGATGAGCCGGCTTCATGAACGTGAGTTCATGAAGTTTCATGGGAATTCGGTACGAGTGATGTCCCCAGAATCGCTCGGCTTTTGTTTGAGAGTGCAGCTCTAGCCTTTACACAGCCAAGTGTGACCTACAAGGCAGTAGGAGTGGAGTAGGGAGTCCACTATCCATTGGCAGCCGGTGACCGGAGTTCGGTTCATACGCCTTTTTGAATGGGGCCAGACATCCAGGACATCCAACAAGCCCTTTGTCCATACGTCTGCCGGTGAGCTCCAGTGAGCTTCGTACGCCAGTCGTTGGAGGTTTGGAATCAGGGTTTAGCCATCTCCCCTAGACTGTCATCCAATGGACAGTCAACCCGGTGAAGAGCGCCGGGCATCCACTTTCGCCCTCTCACTTGGGTGAAAAACACCTCCGCCACGTGAAGGCAGTGAGTAGGACTTCCTCAGGAGAGGCTATGAAGACGCCCGGTCATATGGGAGCATTTCAAGAGGTGTGTGGAGGGGTGGCCAACCCGCAGGGCAAGGCACCCACCCCCGACCACCCTGAGGCTTTGGAGGCCTCAGGCCGTGAATCCAACAGAAGGGGGAAAAAGATGCAAGTTGACAAATGAATAGTCTTCCTACTCATGCTGATATTCTATCAGCAATTACCTTATAAGGACATGGAAATTTCCAAATACGTAAAATAGTACACACGGTGTTCAGAAGACGGAATTTTTTCTGCTTCTTCACTTAACAGGACCACACTCTGAGCACAGTAAATGAAATAGCTATTATACTAGTAGCAAATAAATTCCTGAAATACAGTTGGTCAGTCATTTCATCGGTATACAAAGTAAAATTACGTAAAAAATAGTGTGAACTTAGACACTTGCACTGAAAAAAAATAAGTTCAACAAGAAAAAGCGATAAAACAAGCCACAGTCACAAGATATAGGACAATGAAAAACAGACTCAAAGAAACACAAGGAACTGACGAACCAACAGCACAAGCGATTGTTTTGAGCCAAATTCGTTTTAGGATAACGCAACAGTGTTAATTAAGATACAGACCAAAACAACAAACAACGTGGAAGAGAACGTCAATGTTCCAAATACCAAAATCATTTTAGTGGTTTCGTTGCAACCATTCTACCTCAAATATATCACAATTAAACTCAATGAAAATATTATTTCTTAGGCATTTCTTCGTGCATATTTTGCATTTCATAAATGAATTGACTGGCCACGGGAAACTCTCAACAGCCCAAATTTTATTAAAAACCTCAAAAACACCAGATAAAGAGGTACCATACAATCACCTACTTTTATTATTATCAAACACTAGTGAAATTAGACGGGGTTGCTTGATCTCTCTATCTATCCTTCAACGTGCAATCAATGACACTATTAGGATGGCTCTAAAGGATGTACGTCATGGTGACGTTCTGCCCTGGACGTGTGTTACCAATGTCATCTTAAAGACTTCCATACTGTTTACTGATCTTTAATCATGGGATTGCTTGGAAGAGCCAATTACGTAGAGCTGTGAGATGAATGACTGAGACTGAGTTTCTGTTGTAAGAGTTAAAGCCAGTACACTTCATATAGCACACAAAGGTAAAAGTAAAAAGCTTCGGATGGACTATAGTGAACGGAAATGCACGGCAGAAATAGCATGTACATAGAAAAGAATGAAAATCTGATGGAGCTAGTTCATATAGAGTAAATATATGTTACATTTAAAGACTTGTTTTGAGCCATTTCACTAAGTCTCTAATCACTGGTTTTGCTACGGCGACGAGGCCAGTTAATGAGTTTACACTTTCGTACTTGGATTAGAGACCTCATGGATTCCTGCCATGTTTCATTTTGGCTACCACTAGCTCTTTTCCAACCTACTCTAATATGAACTAACATTGCTCCTCAAGGAGAGCGATAGTTCAGTATGCGTGACAGGTTCTAGCCATTTCAATAGATGGCAGTTTACAACCTCACTGACAGCTTTTATCACCTTACCTAACCTGATTACTTCTGATTATATTATACCACCTAATATGAGATAAAAGGTAGATATTCATGACCAAAGGCGACTATCGTATTCATACCTTTTAAAGAAAATTTCACACAGTTAAGCCAGATGCAGCTTATGAACAAATATTTAATGTCAACAAAATTATTGAGAAATACATCATGGGCTGTAGCTAGCAAGGTACCATAATTATGTGAAGAGCTTTGTCGGCGACACAAATGGAAGGGTTCACTTTAACGATTATTCAAAAAGAGTCTAAGATGCTGGGTACCTAAGATGTGTTATGTGATCTAACACACATCATATATTCAATCCCACAATTGGACAGTTGCTCATCACAACAGATAGTGATTATCTATTACCTAATGTAGGTCTCTTCTGTTTGCCATGTTTATATAGAAAGACAATAAATGCACTAGTGTGGAATTACTCAGTTGGACAGTGTGCTTTAAAAAGACAAAAAGAAAAGTACACCGGACTATAAAGACCGCAAAACTTGCGAAAGAATAAACTAACGATTTATGAGTGAACAGAGTTGAGGAACTCATGAAGTGTTGGTAGCTACGTTATTGATCAGGTGTAACATCCTTGAAATACAGTTATGTCAGATTACCTCAGTACGTCTTAAGTACGTTAAAAGGAATGTCAGACTTTTTGCTATCCTTGGAAATATACACAGGACTGAAGAGTATGACAGCGCGACACTGAACATCTAGGTTTCCAAATATTTACATCCTTTATGGTAAATATTTAGAACTTGAGACAATAACATGAAATGTGATATGGGAGGGTGAGGAAATAGACGCTACATAGCAAAAGATGTGCCTCATCCAGTGCTACTTCAGTCCTTCAAGTGATTTACATCAGGAAAAAACCCTGAATATATCTCAGTTATGACGCTGATCAAATATGAAACGATCACATAACTGCTATCACATTTGTGAAATGTTTCACCGCTTAGATATTCAGACTAGACACAGTGAAAAGCGTAGCTCTCATAAAAAGGCATTATGTCTTAAAATATAAAATGAATGCATGGTGACAATGAACAAAAGTCCTGGAAGGATCTTGGAGATACTGTTGCGTTGAACAAGTGTTCGTAGTGAGGCTACAATGAAGCGCTCACAGTTTAATGAGTCATAATGCCAATAAAAATAACATTGAACCTTACCTCCTTGTCATCACAGGAAATAATGAAAAACTTAGCATCTTTGAAGACACTAGGTTCCATAGGAAACTTCCAGTTTATTTACACCGCCAATTGCATCACTCCAAAAACGCGCGTCAAAAATATCTGCTTTTATGGTGTTCATAATTCAGTGACCGGAGCATTCAGCTGGCTTGTGTTAATCCTTAGAGTTAGGTGCCTGTTTGAACATTCATTCTTTTCCCCCACTTTATATCTGCCTGTGTTAATTACAATGAGCTGTTGTCCAAAAGCTTATAAAATGTGGAATATCATTTATAGGGAATAGAAATATCCAGAATAATTTATCAGGTCCTACTATTTGACGAACTTGGGGAGATTTCCTCGCAGATGGTCAATTCACTCATCTTTTATATGCCTGGAGGATGCCACCCACTGTTATAGCTAAGATTTGAAGGGAAATTCATAGTTTATGTCTAGACAATGTGTGGAGTATGTGTAGTACCCCTGTACCAACTATAAACATACGTTTTTAATCTAATTTGCATACTCATATTATATGTTTACACATACCGATTTTATATGTACTTCGTAAACATTTGCCAATTTACTGTTGAATGTTACCTTGATACTTTTTCGAAATTTGACTACGGCTATAATACACGATTATACTCTTCACAAGTGCCTTCTGATTTTACGTTGTGGGCGTCGAGTAGCCACAACGTCTGCGCACATTGATAAACGTGAAGAAGTACTAGGAAATACGTGTACGCTCATTTAGTCAAATAGAACACGCAATAAATTGGTGAGCCCCGACGATAACTTGCTGATCCCGACGACAAATTGCTGACTCCGACGACGACTTTTGACCTCGACGCGTTGTTACACTTACTGGATTATTAAAACTCTAACTTTCGCGGATTTATATATTTATTAAACAATTCGAACTCATTTTTGTGTTTGCTCATAGCACAACCTGCAGTAATTTGTGGTAAGCACCTGCATTGCATTTTTTCTGTTTTGCCATATTCTTATTGTGCACAAATTTTGCCATTTTCCTACTCTTAAACCATTTTTTTTACGAATTGTAACATGTCTTCCAATACCTCTGATAACTTAGAGCTGGGATCTGTTAGTACTATCTCTCTTACTGTACCAGTTTTTAAGCCCAGAGACCCTCATCTTTGGTTTGCTCGACTGGAACATTATATGGCTAGCAATAAGCTCACGTCACAGACAGCTAAATTTGGCATTTTGAGTACAGTACTACCAGACGAAGTCGCCGAGCAGGTACGGCAATACATCGTTCAACCCAGCACGGAAGCACCTTACGACAAGTTGAAGGAAGAGGTACTGCGATGCACTTCGCTTTCAGATAGGCAAGCACTCGATCGCCTGTTAAGCAATGTTGAGTTAGGGGATAAAACCCCATCGCAACTCATGAGGCATATGCAAAGCCTAGTTGCCGGAAGAGAAATCGACAAACGTCTCTTTTATCAAATCTGGCTGCGACGACTTCCCGCAAACATCCAGCAGGTTCTTGCTTTCGGAGATGACGACATTGACATAGAAAGGCTCACCGAAATCGCGGATCGCATGTACGAGAGGTCAACACCTCAATCTGTCGCTTCCACTAGCAGAATACCAGACACTCATGATAGAATACAGACTCTAGAACACAAAGTCGACACCTTACTGAGTCAGTTAGCAAAACTGACTACACGCACACAACCAAGCCGTTCTAGAAGCTCGTCTCGTCGACGTTTTTCTCGATCCCCTAGCACGTCACGACATCGCGATAATATTTGCTGGTATCACCGTAGTTATGGAAGCAAAGCACGACGGTGCCGTTCACCTTGTAACTTTCAGACTAAACCAAAAGATATATCGTCATGTGTAAAAAATACTGTTGGCAACCTACGATCTAACAGTCGTTTGTTTTATGTAACAGATAAAAATACCGGTACTACATTCTTAGTTGACACAGGAGCAGAGGTGAGTGTTCTCCCTCCGTCTACACAGGAACGTCAACACCCTGACCCAGCAGTTACGCTCCAAGCTGTTAATCAGTCCAGCATTGTTACATATGGAAGTAAACGAATGACTTTAGATTTTGGTTTAAAGAATACCTACACTTGGTCTTTCATCATTGCAGACGTCCCATCCCCAATCCTCGGTATTGATTTTCTGCAGCAACACAAACTGTTAGTTGATCCGATAAGCCCCAAGCTAATAGATTCGCTCAATAAAACGTACATTGCTGGTACGATTAGCCGTGCATCATCACTGAACTTGATGGTCACACGCACACCAGCATCTCCATATACCAATTTGGTAAATCAGTTTCCTGACCTTTTACAACCTTCTTTTCGAGGAACAGAACCGAAGCATCATGTGGTTCATCATATTAAAACCACTGGACCGCCAGTTTTTGCACGTCCACGACGCCTTGACCCATATCGACTTAAAATTGCCAAAACAGAGTTCGATAAAATGCTAGAGCTTGGTATTATTCGACCGTCCAACAGCTCTTGGTCTTCACCGCTTCACATGGTACCCAAAAAGTCTTCTGGTGAAATACGGCCGTGTGGTGATTATCGAGCTTTAAACAAGCAAACGGTACCTGATAGATACCCAATACCACACATCCACGATTTTGCTAGCAACTTACCAAATGTTAAAGTTTTCTCTAAAATCGATCTGGTCCGGGCGTATCATCATATCCCCATCCACCCGGATGACGTTCCGAAAACTGCCATTACCACACCATTCGGTTTATACGAATTCGTACGCATGCCCTTCGGACTGATGAACGCCGCTCAGACATTCCAACGCCTAATTGACCAAGTACTCCGTGGTCTCCCTTTCGTCTACGCATACATCGATGACTTACTAATTGCAAGTGCAGACGAAGCCGAGCATTTGAAACATGTGAAGACAGTGTTTGAAAGACTGAACCAATACGAAATGACTATCAACTTAGACAAGTGCGAATTTGGTAAAACCTCACTGAAATTTCTCGGTCATTTAATCGATAGTCAAGGAATCAGACCAGTCCCTGATGGCGTACAAGCTATCAAAGATTATCCACTACCAGATTCTTTTAAAAAATTACGACGATTTTTGGGTCTCGTTAATTTTTACCGGCGTTTTATTCCCAACTGTGCTAAAGCTTTACAACCATTAACCGATTGCTTACGTGGACACAGTCGTTCATTCCATTTGCCCGCAGAAGCTGTTAAAGCATTCGAAAATGTCAAACAATTGTTAAATGACAAGACACTTCTAGTCAGACGTCAAAATGACGCTCCTCTGTCTCTCATGACAGACGCTTCAGACGTTGCCATCGGGGCAGTTTTACAACAGCAGGTACACGGCGAATGGCAACCCCTAGCATTCTTTTCGAAACGACTGAATCCTACTCAATGTCGCTATAGCACATTTGGTAGAGAGTTATTGGCTGTTTATTTAGCAATCAAGCACTTCCGACATATGCTGGAAGGTACAGCTTTTACTGTCTTTACAGACCATAAAGCTCTAACGAAAGCCTTATCAGCAAAACAGGATAACTACTCTCCGCGTGAACTACGACATCTCGAGTTTATATCTCAGTTCACTTCTGATCTGCGACACGTAAAGGGTAAAAACAATGAAGTGGCAGACGCTTTATCACGTGTGCACATTGACAACATTGTATGCCCAGACATCGACTACGAACGTCTCTCAAACCTACAACCAGATGATGCCGAGCTAAAAAAGATCATGTCTTCTAAAACAACATCTTTAAAGCTAGACGCAATTCCTTTTGGCACGACAAAAATAATCTGCGACACCTCTACGGGTAAATATCGACCCTTCGTTCCAGCAGCTATGAAACATACAGTATTCGAGAAGTTACATAACTTGTCTCATCCCGGTGTCAGCGCTACTATCAAACTAATAAAAGAAAGATTTATATGGCCGAACATTAATAGCGATGTTAAGCAGTGGACACGAAATTGCTTGTCTTGTCAAAGAGTCAAAATCAACCGTCATACCAATGCACCACTTGGTCGCTTTCCTAACCCTGACTCTAGATTTGAACATATACATGTAGACATAGTTGGTCCACTACCTCCTTCCAATGGTTGCAACTACATTCTAACTTGCATCGATAGATTCACTCGTTGGCCTGTAGCAGTTCCAATAGCCGACGTCTCAGCTGAAACGGTAGCTAAAGCTTTGCTCGAAAACTGGATAGCTAATTTTGGTGTCCCATCCATTATCACTACGGACAGAGGTGCTCAGTTTGAAAGCCGACTTTTTAACCAGCTAACTGAATTACTGGGCATCAAACGAATACGAACAACCGCGTACCATCCTAGTTCCAACGGCATGGTTGAACGCCTTCATCGACAACTCAAAGCTGCGCTCGCTGTTTCTTTGACTCAAAACGACTGGTCAACCAAACTTCCATTGGTACTGCTTGGTATACGATCTGCTCTAAAGAAAGATATTGGCTGCTGTGTTTCCGAACTAGTCTATGGAACAACATTACGACTACCAGGAGAATTTTTCACCCCAGGTAACCAAGTTCCACAAGATATGACTGGTTATGTGCACCAGCTAAAACAACACATGAACGAGCTCAAGATATCACTTCCACGCCAGCAGGAACGAACGTCATACATCCCGCCACAACTGACAGATTGCACTCACGTCTTCGTCAGGAGAGAGGGTGTACAACGACCACTTCAACCCGCTTATGATGGCCCATTCAAAGTTCTAAATAGAAACGATAAAGTTATCACGATAGAACGACTGAATAAAGCAGAAGCCATCAGTGTCGACAGAGTCAAACCAGCGTTCATCGACGATTTCGAAGACAACGATAAAGATCAGCTGAACGACGTGCCAACATCTACATCCACGCAAGCTTCAACGTCGCCAGAGAAACCTATGAAAACTACACGCTCTGGTAGGAGAGTTCATTGGCCTAAACGTTATGTACAAATCATCAATATATAACTTATTACGAATTTTCATTTTTATTATCTTTATTCGTAATTGTCATTTACCAACTCATTTAACTGATTAATATTTTCATAAGTAAATCACGTCACTACTATTTTAACATCGATATTCCCTGTATTA